AAAATTCCAAAATGAAAACAACCCCCCCCCCCAAAAAAAAAACAATAACAAAGAATATCTTATATTAAAGATACATTATGGGAGATTCGATAACGAGTTGGCAGTTCTCACTTTAATAGTTAAAAACTAGATAATGTAAAGGCAATTTGCTGAAATTTCATTCAAATTGATCCACTATGAACCGAGAACTAAGCGATAGAAAAGTCCGCCTAGCCTCGATCATGTACCGCGGGTATTATTTCAAGCAAGCTATTATTATATACAGAAAGATTTTCGTGAAATTTATAAGATACACGTTTGAAGAGATTCAGGGATTTTTTTTTTAAATTCCAAAATGAAAACAACCAAAAAAAAAACAATAACAAAGAATATCTTATATTAAAGATACATTATGGGAGATTCGATAACGAGTTGGCAGTTCTCACTTTATAGTTAAAAACTAGATAATGTAAAGGCAATTTGCTGAAAATTTCATTCAAATTGATCCACTATGAACCGAGAACTAAGCAATAGATATGTTCGCCTAGCCTCGATCATCGTTACTAAAGTCAGTACGATAAACAGCATAGTCTCGATTATCCATTTAATCGTTAAATCGTTAAATCGTGAAGGAAAGTTATGCAGTAAATCGGCTCATAATCCACTGAAGATCGAAGGTTGATTATTGTCTGGAAAGGTTAATTAATGTCTACTTAATAAGTAAAAATCCTTAATTTATCCAATTAAACAAGTGTCTTACCTTAAATCGCTATTCAAGGGATCTATTTTACATATACTTTGCTATTACTGCGGTATGACATGTCATCAAAACAGCTCCTGTAGGGTTTGTATGCTAAAATTGATTATTTTCTTTTGTTTTGAGTTGATTTGGGACCAAGCTATCAAAAAATGTCGAGGTTCAAATTTTCCGACCCCTTAACCCTTCGGGGGGGGGGGTATTTTTTAAATCGGGGCCCCCTCTGACCGGGGCCATGGCTATCTCCGCCAATAATAGTTAGATTTTCATGATCTGAAGTTCATTACGGGTTATTTTCATCGTGCCGATCCCATCAATAATACACTTAAAGCGAATGGAAGTAGTTTTCATTGACTTCCGGTGGGAAATACCAATTTCCGGTGTCAAACTCTGATCGATTTCAGCTTGGAGAAATTTATCTCGCAATACCACCTTTTGTGGATATTGAAGCATGGTAAAATGTTTCATGCAGTCACTTTTGGAGAATTGGAATGTTCTGTCATGAGATCCAAGACAAGTTTGACAATTGTAACTAGTAAACATAAGCCAGAGGTCGCCAGAAACGAAATAAATGTAACGCAGTCCACTATATCAGTTATTCATCAGCCTCGTCCCCCTGCAGATCCCTGATCACATTGGTACAGAATCCCTATCACAACTCTTGCAGAGAGATGTACAAAGCAGACCATTATTGTGGGAACTGTATCCTGTTTTACAAACACATTTTGTGAGTTCAGTTAGGGCACGAGGGGCAGGCAGGGCAAGATTCTGCACAGGTACATAAATGACTTTGTCTAATGGGCCAGTTGAAGAGTAGACTTGATAGACAAATCTCTCCAACTCCTTGACCTGCGGAGGCAAGTCACCATTCAGCGGCTCAGATGATCACGCCTTCGCCAAGTTCCTGAAATAGTTGATAACAGGGTCGTCACCATAAAGCTTAAGGTGTTCACAAACCTAAGTTTTCTTTGTGATGCCTACAAACTTACCTCCCCAGTCAGACCTTGACATTTGTGACTTCCAATGACACGTACTCGCCCGATCACATGTATCTCTCTGTATTTTGCGGCGCCTCGTAGTTAAAACCTTGAAATGACTAAGCGTATCTAACTGTAGTCAATCAGCATGGCGTCGATTCGTTTGATGAATGCCTATTCTGTAGATATACATCCATTAAATCCATCAAGTGTGAATATCGATAAACGAGTAGCTAGTTTTTCGGCATTCGCCAATATCAAAAAACAAGGAGAAAGTGAAGTTTGTATGTGAATCCATCGATCAAGCATCCTCATTTATGATATCTTTAGTTCGTTTTAGGAAACTTATTTAATCAAATTTGTTTTGGAGACATTCTGTAGATATCCATCAAGTCTACTTTTTTGAGATTCAAGTTTGAATATTCTCATTCGCCAATATCGGAAAACGAGCTAGTTGTTTTTCGTTATTCGCCGATATCGTAAAACGAAAATCGAGCTAACTTCACAGTGCCTATCTCTACCCATATCGAGTAGTGTGTAGTATGTATCGCATGGATTTATATCTGAAAGTATGGTTAATTAACTATTCTGAATTATGATTTAGATCTGTTATCAGTTACAGTATGGACCGCCCTAACTTTAGGTTGACGAAGCGGTAAGAAATCTGATTGTATAGATGGACACATAAAAGGTCACATAAATAAGAGGAGAGAGGAGGAATGGGTTTAACGTCCACTCGACATAAACTAGGTCATTTCGGGACTAACATATGGTTCAAATTTATTTCAATAATTCGCTGGCGCATAGGGGTCGTTAGCAGAGGGAGAAAAGCGGAGGACCCGGAGAAAACCCACGAGAGTGGACAGGCGACCCTACGCCTTGTCACGTACAACCGAAACCACGCCAGTTGACTCAATGACAGACCTGATGATACAACGCGTACGCGCTAACCATTCACCCCCACCCCATCTTCATAAATAAGATGGTGCTATATTTATTAAAGGTGCATTATGTAAGAGCTAACTATTTTCTGGCTTCAAATGTTATATGAACTATTTTTTAGATATTTATTCACATGACAAGCCTACAAACATTCATAATTTTGCTCAGAATAAAGTAATTTGACTGACGCTTTCGATGATATTCCATTTTTGATATCTATTAATTTAAACTTTTATAGCGAGAACAACCATTTCTTTATCTACACCAGTGCTTCTCAACCTTTCTCACCAGCGGCACACCTTGGAGCACATGAACAAATAGCGGCACTGGCTAGATATATCTGAAAAATATTTGAATTTTGCAAAATAAAAACATGGCAAGTCCACAGGCACTTGAAGGGGTTAAAATAAAACTTCTTACTACTACTTGACTAGTATTACTAATAACACAAAGTCAATCACCCACCATATTGTTTTGAATCGTTGAAGATATTTCGTCTGCTATCGTCTCACAATATTCACTAGTTCTAACACTTCCGGTCATTTCTATTGCCATTGAGACTTTATTTGATCTTTACACATCTTCCAATGTAATTAAATTGGTCATTTTACAGCGTTATTAATTATAAATCAAACTTGTAGCGGCAGACTCGTTGAGAATCACTGATCTACATCTTACATAGTGCATCTTTAACACATTTGTAATACAAGAATAAAGTTTTAGAATTAATACTGAAATTGACAGGCAGCCAGTTAAGATTGAAAAGATTGAGTTTTATATGTTTGTGCTGAGAGAGGAGTACTCATTATAAGTCTAGCAAAGGAATACTGTAACGTTTTATACTTGCAAATTAGTTGATTTGGGATATATTTAATCTGGAGAGTCCCAAGGCCTACACAAATGTTCACGTACAAACGGTGAATCAAAATAAAAACAGCGCCACGTGAGTCAATGCTAGAAATTAAACCTCCCGCGTTAAACCATTCGACCATCACCCCCCCCCCCCCCATTCATATAGGCTTCGAATGATACCAATATTTCCGGCCGAAAGGAACAGGAGAAAGGGTAGCACTAGCAAGTAGCAACATGAATAAAGAAATAAAAAAAGGTGTTGCTTAAAATAGTTTTAGCGCCAACAAGTAACTATTCTGTATTTCATCGTTGAATTGAAGAAGTCCAATGTGTGTTATTGGCATATAAATGAAATAATAGTATCTGACGGAGACGAATATAAACCAAACAAGATAGACCCAAACACCAAACCTTGTGACTCCCCAGATGTGAGAATTATTTCTTAGGCCCTTTTACCATGTACGCGTAATGGGACTGATTCCATGTAACCGACGGAAACGCGTTCATGGTGAACAGGCTGGCATATGTTTCATCTCCAAGAACAACATGAAGGAGGATTATACATAGGCTAAATCTGTTGCCAAATCCAATCCAGACATCCTGAATAAATATCGTTAAAATTGTAGCATATATCGCGTTCACAATGTTTTCGGCAAGGGTGTGTTAACTACGGAACGGAAAGTTGGGGAATGTCAATAGGGTTCCTTCCCTCGTGACCACACACTTCCCACCAAATTTTAAAAATATCTAAACACTATAGAATATATCGCGTTCACAAGGTTTTCGGAAAAGGGGACATTACTCTTGTACATAAGGTCACGGCGCGCTGAATATCGGTAAGGTTCGCCCTGTCATATCAACAACGCCATTCTAAACATAAAAGACACAATACCTGCGGAGCAGAAATTACAAGCAGCTATATTTAGTTTTCGGGCGATAGTTACGCATGTCACGTTTGAAAATAATTTGTCAAAAACTGTAACCTGTATCGCGTTCACGAACCAACTGACGGACCAATGGACAAGGTGACATCTATATACGTCCAAAATACGTGTGGGCGTAATATAAAAATTCGATACGTGATGATATCTTTTGATCATTTCCTTTTACTTTAAAGTAGCTAAGTCTCTAACTCAATATCATCCAAATTCTTACACGTTGAAAACACGAATTATTTGTCAATTCAAATCAACATTGATGTTGTTATCTTACCGGGAAAAGGTAGGCTTCTGATATCCAATATTTAAGACAAAATAAAAATTTTACCATTGGTACACGAATCGTGTACCATAGTGCGTTTCAGTGTCACTTGTAACAAGTGATCAGAAAGAATGAGACTAGACATATTCCACACCTCATGTCAAACGGTGACGCCATGAGAGCATGCACAATAGACTGCAATGGCCAGGCGCTAGAAATAGCGATTCGGTTGAGACTCAAGCCGTATTTCGCTGGAGATAACTGATTTGAAATTAGAGCCAAAACAGAAACAATTGAATGTAAATCAGTTTATATACAATCAGATTACATTATTATATGCGTTTCGACCCATTTGAGTCAATTTCTAGGTCCCAAATATTAGCGATTTAGCTCCTTTAAATATAGAAACAGATCTGTCAAAAAATTAGCTTTTTCACGCTTCCCGTATAGCAATTGTACAGTTTTCTAATAATAAAAACACTGCTTGATCACCTACATAGAATCTAAGCCTGTAAATAAAACTACAAAAATCTATCATGTAGGATGATTAACTAACCATGGGAGGTAACTCTCTTTTACAGGGGCAGATAAAAGAATTTGTTCCAAATCGTTTTAGCTTTTATATATAGCAAAAATTTCGTTATTTTTATAAATAATTACTCTAGCTATTCCCATATAAATAACACAATGATATAGAAATATGAAATAAAAACCATATACCTAGTCTGAAATAGCTTACCCAAGATAAGACTATAATTTCTGTGGAAAGCGTAACAAGTTTCTTACAAACTTGTCCATATCATAATGATGAATTCCAGTATATTGACAACTCAATCAAATGAAATGGACATCAGACTTTCTGTCTACTCTTCATCATATTCTCACAGTCAAGGGTTCTTTTACTTGCATGGGGGATCACGTGGCTAAGTGGGTAAGACGCTGCCTCGCTAGTCTGGAGGTCGGGTGTTCGATCCCTGCATTGGCCGAGAAAGTTAATCCAGATTTTCCGGCATGGTTTCCCCTTGTCAGTGACAGCTGTCTAGTCGTTCGAATGGAACGAAAAACCGAGGTCCAGTGTACTTATTGGCGTGCACATAAAAGATCCCTTGGCAGTTGGAATTCAATATAAGAGTAGGCCGTAGCGCAAAATTTCCCTCATAGCACACTGTATGCCGTATACCCGTCTTCATTCGCCCAGTTTAGGAGCAGAACAGTAGGACGTTAGACCGCATTTCATTTTTACTTGCATGCCAACCAGTACGTTATGTGTATTTTGTTTTATATCTCAGATAGTAAAGATATTTTTTGAAAATAAAATATAATTTTACAATTCTTAACATTATCTGAATTTATAATTCAAGTTTTGTATGCATTCTCACATAAAATTTTTTAATTTTTATATATTTACGGTTAAATTCTTTGAAATAGCCGATTTCATGACACAAAAGATTGCAAATAAGTAATTTTTCCAGTCAACCATCACTGCCAGTAGGTCAAGATTGGTAAATATGACTTGAAACCAGGGCTCTGGTTTGAAACTTAATTTAGGCTGTGAAGAATTTTCAGGACTAAATAAGAATAATTTCCCCATATCTGTGTTCCGTGAACACAACGGCGATTGAAATAAACAGTTTGGGCAGTAGGAATCAAAACAAAAACAGGGAGGACAATATCTTGTTCCCTAACATGGGAATGTATTGAAACTGAAATGAAATAGGGATTAGCTGCGATTAGCATCTTAGTTTTTTTACAAATGTACACCAACGGGGCTAATAAACACGGGCATATGCCATGTAGAGTGCTATGAGGGAAATTTTGCCTGACAGAGAAGCTACAGCCTACACAGATTTCGGTTTTCATGTCTGTAAATTGTAAGGGGATGTTTAACCTGCCTATGGTTAACATGACACCTCAGTTATTTTGCCCATTCCAACGACTAGACACTTTTTATTTCCAGGTCCTCTGCCCTGCACCACTGACAAGAGGAAATCTTTCCAAAGAATTTCAAAGTTAGTGAGCCAGCACCATACTCACTGAGCCACCATGGCTCCTAAAATTTAAATATATTATTCACAAGGGCATTGCTCACTGCTTAACAAAGACCAGATGTACATACATATACACGTTCGTTCATATTTATTATTATTTTTAAACGTCTTCAATATGATACACAAAATCCATCAATAAAACATACTGATTTACACGTCCAATTCAAACACATGAATTACAAATAAATTTTTTCTACTAAAAGTCTACTGTTTTGATGACAGTTTTGCTTTGTTTGTAAATGATTGTTCTATTCTCAAATTTAAAACAAAAGGTGCAGAGTCATCTTTGCCTTTCCTCCTGAGATCTTGTTTTAACCAAGCTTCTAAAAAAGGAGGAAATGGCACTGTTGCTGGTATTATTCTCTGTTCACGTTTATCCTTTTCTGTTAATTTACAAAAATCTGTTTCTTCCTCTTTAGGAATTAGTTTCCAGTCCGTTTTTTGACCAGTTTCGATTTTTCTCACACCTAAGTTGTCTCCCCTGAATATTTTCTCACCCCATGCCACACCTTCTCTTAACTTCTGTAAAATATAATGTTCATGTATTATACATAAATTCATCTCCAACTTAATACTTGAAATAAATGTTTTATTTTACATATTATATTCATCAGGCATTATTACAAAAGTGTATAAAATAATTATTCAAAATAACCTTAATCTCACTTCCTTAACGAAAGTCCAAACAAGTGCATGTACTGTATTTTTTACAGGCTTTTTTACGCATAGAAAAGAACTAAAAGATGTGTCTGATTCATAAATAGAAGGTTACACTCCATTTCTATCTCTGATAGGTGCATCTTCTTTGGTTGTTATTTCAACACTGTATGATATTTCCTCTCCATAAACTGCTGCTGTCACTGTCAATTTGTCAATATCCGCAGAAAATGCCAGAAACTTTACTATCATACTTGGAAGAAAGAATGTGGCATGTCTATATTAATGAACAATTTTCTGTGAACATTCATTTGATAGGACAAAATAGTGCTTTAATGTACAAAGATGCATATTGTTATAATATTAAAACTATAAATGGATACATTTGTTCATGGTACTGTAGTCTGTAGACATTGTAGTTGCCAAAATTAGTAGTTATAATTCCTGGAATAAAATTTTGCTTGTTTACACAAACCAGGCTTAGAGACTAAATCGATCCATTCCTAGCTCCAAATCAACCAATTGTAATTTTTGGGGTCCCGATTCAAGTGCAATAAAATAAAAAATACTGGAGTGGAAGGTAATTGTTGGATTGAATGAAGGAAATTCAAATCGTCAGTTGTGACTTAACAATATGTTAATTACTTACTAGATCTGTTAGGTCTGGTTGCACTTTAGAAAGTCGATAATAACTTTTCTCTGGGTATCTGTTCAGAAAGTTCAATCTTGTGACAACACGACCTTCTCCAAAATTTTTCAAGTTGCACGCAATCTCATACAGAGTTTTCCCTTTAAAGTGGGCTATTCGTCCAACATATCTGATGCGCATGTTGACTTCCGATAGGAAAATGTTGCAACTATTCTGAGCTTCAACTAAATCAAATTGTCTCACACATTAGGTTTGTAAATTAAAAGTTTTAGACATTTATCAAAATACACACACAATGTCAATGGAGGTCGCCATCTTCGAAAGGGAGATAACTACGATTGAATTATTATGGAGTAGAGCTACTAACTATTTTTTCGGTGTATTTCAACGTTAATAAATTCCATGCTATGTCTTCAAAAAACATTCCAGGGAGGTTACCTTTATATTACCAAAGAATCCAAGATGCCACAGATATGTAAACTTAGGTTAGACGAGGAAATGTATTTTTTCATAGGAAATTTCTGGAAACATTTGTATCTAGGAATTGCCCAAATTTCGACTCAAAATCATTAAACTTCACCAAAGAAGCGATAGAGAATTAAAATTCAAACCATGTTCACCAATTCTAAACCAGCAAATCAAGGAGACCAGGAGAGAGACAGAATTTATTATTAATAACTCGTCCTGCATTTCGTATCGAGAACTTTTCAAATGGCGACTCCTTATAAATAGGTTACACGTATATCGATAATAAAATGCCTATATATTTTTTTACATGTCATGATATCACTCCCAAATATATCATTTAGCTAAAGTGGATTTTCTTTATTTGTTTTTCTAGGCGGAATAAATGAATAATATGCGGAAAATTACTATGCAAGGGGAACAACTCGTATAGGTATGCTTGCAACTTTGTTTAATAATAATAATAATAATAATAATATCTTTATTTTCAAAGGTGAAAAATTAGGCTTAGAGCCTGTTTACAATTTTGCCCTTTATAACAAAGAAATGAAAAAGACAGTAACAGAACAAGACACTTAACAAATACTCACACACAAAACATTCAAATATATATTAATAAGCTAAATAGTTTAACTTCAAAACTAAAAGTAGTATGATAGATAATATGTAGTAAGTAGTTGATATATTAAATATAGGCTACAGGTTAAGAAGAAGAAATAACATGCCTAGTGATATTTTCCTGAAATAAATGAAGATTTTTAATAGTTTTAAGTGAATATGGGAGAGAATTCCAAAGCACTGTGCCTCTATATTGTAAACTACATTTAAATATTTCATTATAAGGTCTACAGATAGAAAGTATATTATTGAGAGATGAATATGGAGTGGTGTTATAATGAAAAATATTATATAAATATGATGGACAAAGTTTATGGATAATTTTATAAACAAAAATATATTTGTTAATTAAAAGTCTTTGATAAATAGTTTGAAGATTTAAGGATGAAGATAAAAACTGATAATTAGATGAGAAGGAATGATCAGAGATAGGTCTATTGTAAATTAATTTAAAGGATAATTGTCTTTGGCATGGCCAGCATATTAATATTCCATACGTTCATGTATTCCACGTAAATGCCATGAAATGAAATGAGGTCTCGGGTTCGTTCCTGATATTAGCCAAGAAAGTATCTGGAAATTTCCATCGTAGTTTCCCCTCGTCAGTGGTGCAGAATGGAGAGCTTTGCAAGATGGGACGGAAAACCGAGGCCCTGGTCACACGTTGTTTGCGTGCATGTTAAAGAACCATTGACCGTTGCAATTCGAAATAAGAGTATAGGGACACAGCACCGCTGTCCGGGCAAAATCTCCCACAAAACGTAGGATGTTCAATCCCATTTCATTTCATTTTTAAACTGCAGCACGGTCAATAATAAAAGTAGTCACAAAATAATCTAGATCAACATGTTTAAGACACAACACGTCAAATCAAAGATATCTATCAATTTAATGTAAAGACTGCGAGACTGTTGATATCACGTAACGAACCAAATACGTATTTATAAAGAAATAAAATTTCCTAGATTTTAACTAGACAGATTTCATACAATTGAATGAGAGAGAGAGAGAGGGGGAGAGAGAGATTAACGTCCACTCGACAAAAACTAGGTCATTTCGGAACTAACGAGGTTTATACAGAAAACCCTACCACTTGTCAGGTACAAGCGGTTAGTCCAAACCACACTACCTGACTTAATAAAAGACCGTGTCATTTGACGGGCACGGTGTACACCATTCGCCCCCCCCCCCCTCCTCATACAGAAGATTTAATTGCCCAAAATTGAAAAGATTTCGGTAAGAAAAGGGTTTTTTTTTAATGTGTACGGTCTATTTTTAACCTTTATTATTGTTTTTTTTTAAAAATTATAAATATATGATTTGCCTTGTCATTCTAAATTTGTATTTTAAAAATATCTATCTTTTGAATGATTTGTTACTAAGCCCCATATTAGCAAAGTCTCAGAATTTCAACGTAGGAAACTGGAAAGATTGATTTTTTGTTTTATTCTGGTTAATGTACTGTTTGGCTAAGGGGCTTTATTCTTCTTGTTTAATTACGTCAAATACTACCATTTCAATAACCATAAATGAGCAAATATTGGAGGAAACAGAAAATATATGGGGACTTGGAGTCTTTGATGATATAATAGAAACGGTCTTTTTCTCTGCAGATTCACGAAGGAAAATTTCCAATTATCATAATTAAAGTGGACGACAATTTGAATTTTCTCGTGTGTTTGACGGGTGCATTTCCTGACAGGTCAGAGTACTTTCATTGTTTTTTTTCGTCGAGAGGTCTCCGCCCTGCTGCATATCATTGTCTGCTACAATCAATAGCGCACAGATGTGACGTAATTGTCTGTCAGATGGCAGATCGACGGCCTGGTTATTGTTTTAGTTGCTGTTTGAAATGTCAGTGCACGCATCAAAATTGTTAGCTTTGCAAAAAAATATCGTTTCTACCTCAGAGATTCCACAACGCTACACCCCATTAATCGCATTCATGTGTTCAAATATTTTTCATCAAAGACACAAAAAGATTCGGAAGACAACCACGAGGGATTAGATAGACACGCAAAAACTGTTAGATTCTGTTACAATGTATGTAACGACTATCAGCTGCTTCGCTGAAATACTGATGCTCTGATGTAACAAGTAAAAGAATAGTTCATGCTTGAAAAGAAATTCTTTACTCCGATACCATGTCGATAATTCCAGTAAAGGCGGAACTTTTTTTTCTTTTTTTTTAATTCTTCAGCAAAAGTGAATTTATCGCCTAAAGAAAAATAAGAACAAATACATTACAATTTTTTAGTGTTTTTTTTTATTTGGAAACATTTCGAAATAGCATTAGAATTTTGTATAGACGGTATATTCTTTAAGTGGTATTATTGGATATTCTTCATTCGATATGTACATATTTGACAATTGATAGTTATGGGTGTTTTCAGGGTTTTTTTCTCTCTCTCAGTTATCTTCTTTTAATCTTCTTTCCATCCAATTCTTTAAACATTCGGCTGGTGAGGGTTGTTTATTATTGGGTCCATCGATTTTAATTCCTGCTAATTGAGCTATGGACGGCTCCAACTCTTCTTCTGTGACCTTTTCTGGGTCTGGTCTGCCCTTGGAAAGCTCCGACTTCGGTTTACCATCTTTTTCATTGGCATCAACACTCGTATCAATAATGTCATTCTTAACTTTTCGTTTAATTTTTGGAGTGTCGGGATGTATCTTCGGCACCCTTGTTTCTTTTTCAATATCTTTGGTTAAATCCAGTTTTAAAGTGTTAGGTTTCTGCTGTGGGGATTCTCCCATTCCTAGTATTAACGCGTCAATTGAATTTTGTGACATTTTCTTTGCTGGAAACTGGAGAAACTTCGTATTCTGTAAGTTTCGTGACGGCCTATCCTGGCTGCTTTGACGTCATAATGTTATGACGAGACGGGATTGTCTACGCCATAGAAATATATAAATAGACTAGTTCATTTACATATCTGTACAGTCTACGCAAGAACAATAACAATCAGTTTTAGCTCACATGGGGTGATTTTACTATTTCGTATAAAAAAAAGCTTTGGAAATCGCCTTGTGTGCGCAAGTTTCAAAGTCAAAAAAGATTAATCAAAGTTTGATTTAGAAACAGTTATAGAGACATTTACGCATACACGTAGTTGTATTGCCTGAAAAACATTATATATTATACTATATATTATTATATATATATCTTTTGATAAATGATTTAAATAAATAGTGGTAATGTGTGTTATGTTCGTATTAAAAATGCATTATGCAAGATTTAGATAAACCGCTGACAGTTCTCGCTATAATATTTTCAAAATAGATAATGAAAAAGAATATATTGAAAATTTCAGTCAAATTACTTCATTCTGAGAGAATAGCGTATATTATAGTCTCTATTTTTATTGCTACCGTTCTTACGGTAATAAGAAGAGTCTCGATTATCCGAGTGGACGGGAATCTTTTGATAAATAATTTGAATAAGTACTCGTGATGTGTATGTTCTAGTCAAAATTAATATCTTCAAAAAATTCCCAATAAATATCATTTGATGAATAATTTCAATAAATAGTCATCATGTGTTTTTTGCTATACGTAAGATCACTTATCGGTTTGAGTTATGGATGTTGATCGGAAATTTACCGCATTTTATCGAATGACTCGTATCTGTAGAAATATTAATGTAAATGTCAGCAGGAAACCGGATACATGAGTTTATAATATCATATTTCATAATCAACAAACTTTTCTGCAATTTGTTTAATTCATAAATAAACATCCGCCACGAATTTTATATTTCCTCGTTCATTGCATGAAAACTCGTTATGTTTTTGTTTTTTTTACTGAAATTCAGACGCTGTGCATGAGTTATTTTGTAAATCGGCTTGCTCTTTAACAAAGCAAACAATCAGATTCCCCCTTTCAATCGTTCAATGCGATCGTGCGATTAAAACAATTTGTAAAGCTGTAAGGAAATGAAATGTAATGAGGTCTAACTACTGCTTTTCTGTACCAACTGGGATAAGGAAGACGGACATACACAATGCCGTGTGATATAATATGAGCGAAAATTTGCCCAGACATTGACGTTTCCACCAACTCTTCCTCCAAATCCAACTGTCAAAAACGTTCTTTTACTTTCACCCCAGCGTGTAGACGGGACTTCGGTTTTTTGTTCCAATCGAACGACTTAGATTCTGTTGATAGCCTGCGCTTGATTTCGTTTATAAGACCTTACAAAAACACCGCATAAGCAGCATACCATTTCAACATTATT